CCCCAAAACCCCAAAACCCCAAAACCCCGGAAGAAGTAGAAGATACTGAGTGAGATAAAATTTAAAATCATATTAATATCTTAATTTGGCTACTTGAATACTACTTTCGCTTGCCTTTGAAAAGTCTACTGATCAGATTGGCAGAAGACTTTCCTCCTTTTAGCTCGAAGATTTGTTGCATCAGTAGCTCCTTTTCCTCCGCCAGAGAGTTGATGGTTTTTTGTAAATTTTCAGCTTCATTGGTCATTTGTTCGATCACATTTCTGCTTTGGTTAAGCTCTTTTTTATAGTATATCTTTTTACTTTTCGTTTTATTTATACTTCTTGTGCAAGAAGAGGTATTCCTTCTCCATTAGCTCTGATTCATTGGCTAAGATTTGAAAGATTCTGCTCTTACCACCTCTGCTGAAATAAGGCGTAGCTGAGAGATCAGTTGAGTCAGTTATATCATGTTTGTGCTCTTCAAGATATGAGTCCTTAAGTTCTTTGACACGCTTTATGTCTTTCTGAAGTAAGTCGAGAACCCCCCTCCTTGGACTATATTTGTCTTTGAACTCTTTTTGGTTTGTGTCGTAGATTTCCAAGCGACTAAAATGAGATCAGATACATATTTTGAACAATTAACTTTTTCAAAGAGCTTCTGATCAGGGAAATTCTTACCGTTTGTGAAGATCTTTAAGAGATGCGAGGATCTGTTCCCAGTCTTCTATTCCTTCGAAATATCCATTCTTGATGAACCTTTGCATCTCTGAGACAATGTTCAGACTCTTTGCATTAGACGAAAATATTTCTGCAGGTGATCGCTTATCAGACTCTTTACAAATATCATCCATGATCCTACTGAACTTCAGCATTTGGATCTCAGACTTGGTGGCATCATCTTCACAGCCAGAGGAAGCAAAGGACATTGTTGATTTAAGTATATTTTCATAAATATCACTTGAATAAGAGCCATCAGAGATGTCTTTCTTCTTGAGAAGCTTGACATCATTGGATTTCTCAATCAACTGAGGATTTGTGTCCTTTGATACAGAGAGGAAGCTCTCTTCTGCTGATCTTTTGATAGGGTTATACTTGCTGATTTCCATTTTGCTCTCCTCATCTTCAAGATAATTTGAAGGAACCATATTTACATCATGATTGCTAACGGTTTTCATTTCCCATGCCATTTTGTCTGAAATGCTGATAATTAAAGTTTATTTATTCAACCTTGCTCAGAATTTATGGGGTTTTGGGGTTTTGGGGTTTTGGGGTTTTGGGG